GTTTGATTTTGAAAAAAATTCAATTATTGGGATTCTTTGATATGCTGAATCTGAAAATGTATTAAGATTTTTGATATCTGTCCCAGTTTTCAAGTTGGTCCAAATCAGGATCCAAAATTAAACTTTGTTTGAATTCAACAAAAATTGAATATTTGGGGTTCTTTGATATGCTGAATCTTACTGTGTATTTAGATTTTTGATTTTGGATGCCATTGTCAAATTGGTCTACATTGAGGTCCAAAGGGTCAAATACTTAAACATTTGTTTGATTTCATCAAAAATTGAATTCTCGGAGTTCTTTGATATGCTGAATCTAACCATGTATTTAGATTTTGGATATTGGATCATAATAGATCAATGTCCAATTTAAAATTTTTAAGTTCTTTTACCACATTCATTCTGTGTCAGAAACCTATGCTGTGTCAAATATTTAATCACAATACAAATTCAGAGCTTTATCAAGTGTGAATGTAGTTTCCATACTAGCCCCAACTGTTCAGGGTTTGACCTCTGTGGTTGTATTAAGCTGCACCCAGCAGAGCAATTTATTATTTTTATTTTCTGAAAGCACATTAAAAGAAATATCTATACCCCCGCCGTAGCGGTGGGGGCATTAAGTTTTACCCTTGTCCGTCTGTACGTAAGTACGTACGTCCCAAAATTGGTTTCCGTTCTCTAACTTGAGTTTGCCTCAACCAAATGTTATGAAACTTATACACAATGCTTTTTACCAAAAAATGCAGATAACTTTTTTTTTTTTAATTTTAAATCTCTATGGTTTTGTTTCTTTCTTTTCACATAAAATTGTTTTATACATGTATAATCTTTATACAATCTGAGAATTTAGCACAACCTGTTGCTTTAAAAAAGCTTTGTGATCTATACTTTTTATTATATTTTTGAAAATTGCATAATATTGACTACATTTTGGCAAAGTATTAAAAAGATCTATTGTTTTTTAATTTAGACCCCCTTCTACCTTAATTCTTTTAATTTAGGTTTGTTCTCTTTGTGCAGATGGAAATCTAGAGTCAAAATATTACCTCCCTTGGAAACACTGAAAAAGTGGTCTTTTCAATGTTTGTTTTGTTTTAGCAAGGATGCTTATTAATTAATAATAAATTCACAAGAAAACTTTCTTTTAAATAGTAACAATAAAAATAAATTGAAATGAAATGAAAACAAAATTTTCATATAATGTTGTCAATTCCCTTCTAATATAGCAAATGACAAATAAAGCAGGCAATATGAGCTTTGTGTGAAATTGGTTTAAAATGTTCCTATGCAAATAAATTCCTCTAGTACATTGTACTAACTTCAATTAAATTTTTTTCTACCAGCTGTATACCTCTCTGGAACATGCCAATTTTCTGTATATGTATGCAGCTAGATTAGCAAAGTTCAGGAAAATTTACCAAAAAGAATCAATGGATATGCAGCATAGATGAACTAAGTTACTAAGCAAATTCAAAGGGACCTATAATTATCCCGTTGTAAACATTGAATGCAAATACATCAAGAAGACCCCAAAAACACTTACAAAAATCGAAACAACCCATTTTTAACATGGTAAAAAATATAGTAAAAAATTTTTAACAGATATCCTACTTTGTAAAAATATTTATCTTTAATTTTTAATCTGCACAGACACAATTTTAAATCAAAGCAAAGACAATATTTCTATATTGAAAATTCATTTGACTAAAGCAGACCGGCATACTCCAAAACTTAGATGTGGAAAATAGGTATATCTGGGAAATTGTAACATTCTAAGGATAATGTGGAACACTCAGAAAATTGGTGACTTGAAAGAGCTTTAGATTCTTTATGTACATTATTTTTTCCAATTTGTTTTATTTGTTTTATCAATATGCAGTAAATATTAGCATTTTTTAAATCTCAGTTTCACAAGATCTCGATAATAAAAAATAAAGAAAATAAAGCATCATGTATATCCATGTATATTTCTAATAACACAGTTTAACAAATACTTTCTTTAAATGTGCAAGTTTTGTTTAGAAATAACTTTTTATCAGTAACATCATCAGTATTGATTTTCTATTGATTTTGTTGACTCTTTCATAAGAACAGTTACTTTTCTATTGTTCTCAAGTCCTTGCAGGTTTTGCCACTGTGTGCAATTTTCACATGTTGTTGCAAACAAAATTAGTTGCTAAGGAGAAATTAATTAATCCAAGGTTATGTAAAGGTTAGTCTTTGAAAAGGTATATACTATGAAATTTAGAGAGGGGATAACATGGACCTAAGTGGAACTCTTTACAATTTTTGGTATATTGAAATCTTCAATGATTAAATTCATTGTCTTAAAATTTCTTTTCAAGTAATAAATATATATCAGATAAAAGAGTTAATGTCAAAGGCCAGTTACTCCTACATAAAAATTATCTTGCAGGTAATCTATTTTTTACCACTCAATAACTTGAACTTAGATTTAATTAAAAATAAAGAAAAGCTCAGCAGTGAATGCCATCAGAAAAAAGAAGATTTATAAACAATTTATGACACAAATTTTACAAGAAAAAATACATGCAAAAATGGCACTAAAATTGGATACCCTGAAAAATAGCCATCTTTTCCATCAGAGCTGTCCAGCTCTTTCATTACATCCATTGTTTTAGTTTCCGTTCTCTAACTTAAGTTTGCCTCAACCAAATGTTATGAAACTTATACACAATGCTTATTACCACAAAACACAGATCAAGTTTGAATTTTGGTGGCGTCACTTTAACCGTTCTAGACTTATGCCCCTTTATAAATGGAAAAATTGCAAAATTTTTATTTTCTTCTAAATATCAAGTAATTTTTAAAATTGGAGTTATCTTCCTTTGTCCATGATTATAGTTGAATCAACTACAATCAATGCTTTATACAATGTAATGTTTAATTTTGACTTCCACTGATAAAAAAGATCAGGTTGAATTTGGGTAGTGTCACTTTAACAATTATTGAGTTATGCCCCTTTATAAATCGAAAGATTGCCAAATTTTTAGTTTCCATTTTGTAACTTAAGTTTGCCCCAACCAAACATTATGAAACATATACACAATATTAATTACCACAAAACTAAGATCAAGTACAATTTTTTTGTTTCCGTTTTCTAACTTTAGTTTGCCTCAACCAAATGTTATGAAATTTATACACAATGCTTATTACTACATAATACAGATTAAGTACCAAATAAGTGGCGACACTTTTACCATTCTTGAGTTATGTCCCTTTATAAACATAAAAATTGCTGAATTTGTTAGTTTGTCTCAACCAAATGTTATAAAACTTATACACAACCATTCTAGAGTTATGCGTGTTTACAAATAGAAAAATTGCTGAATTTTTAGTTTCTGTTCTCTATTTAAGTTAGCCTCAACCAATTGTTATGAGACTTACACACAATGCTTATTACCACAAAACTCAGATCAAGTTCAAATTTAGGTAGCGTCACTTTTACCGTCTTCAGTTATGTCCCTTTATAACTATATGATATGCAAGCGGGGGCATCATCTGTGTCCACATGTGGACACTATCCACATTTATTTTATTTTTTTTTTTCCTACCGCCTAATTTTTTTCCTTGGCTGTTTTGTTTTTTCGCAAGATGTTGCTTAGATATTTGGAATATGATATCGAACAGTTATTACGCTTTTGAAACTGACACTCCATATAAGAGTTATCTCCCTGAACACTGTTTTTCTTGTTATTTCTAAAACTTCGCAACTGTACAAAAAACCGACAAATTCATTTTTTCCAAATTGCTCATTAGATCCTCAGGATGTTTGTTTAATTTTGACCGAAGCCGTATAGAGATTCCATATGAGAGTTATTTCCTCTTTTGTATTTGATATAAGTGAAATGTATATGTAACTGGAAAACCAAAAGTGATAGAGGCCTAGGGTCTTTTGATTTGAGGTCCTTGGTCCTTAAAAATGAAAATGAGGTCAAGGTCAAAGGTCAAGGTCATGTACAAAATTTTGAATTTGGCTTGTTATCACTAATTTTCAGAAATCTTGTAAGATATCGACAAAATATTTTTACAGAATTGTTAGTTGCGACATGTCGTAACACATAAATTTTAGTTGAAAGGGTACGTAGACATTTAATGGGAGTTTACGCCCCTTTTATATCTAATATTAGTAGTATGGTAATTATAACTCATTAACAATATATAGTAGAGGCCTAGAGTCTTTTGATTTGAGACCCTTGTTTCATGACCTTGAAATTGGGGTCAAGGTCAAAGTTTGATTTGACGTTCTAGATTTTAACCTTTGCTTTAACTTTTAATTTATACATAATAAACTTATGGGACTTTGTGCATTAAGTTGCAAGTCATATGACCTTGGAGAAATCAACTGGAAATGACCTTTTGTAAACCGGAAGTAGCCATGTTTTGTACTCATTTAATGTAAAAGTACATAGAAACATATATTTTTGGAATCAGTGTCAAGTAAACTATCAGATGAGACCAAATTTGACATTTTTCAAACCAGAAGTAACAACTTATCTCCCTTATTTCAAACAAAAATGTGTAGAAACCATGTATTTATAAATTTAACGTACAATAAGCTATCATTTGGCACTGAAAAATTCATTTCTAACTGAGTTTTATCATTTTTAACATCAAAATATATTGTATCAGGTGGAAAGACCTTCAATTGTTCTCTGAACAATTGGTTTTTAATTGTATATTGTATTTATGACTGCAGACAATTCAAGTTTTCTACTGTAATGCAAAGACTGAAATTCCTTAGTCATAATTATTCTTGTAGTAATAAAGAGGGAAAGTAGTCTGCAGCTTTTCTGTAATATTTCAGCAGCTAGTTTGTTTAAATTTTAATGTTGGATATTTGTGAGTCGAAAATCAATATTACAAAAAATATTAGAATCTTTGGAAGTTTATTAAACATATTTATGTTTGACATAAATCATCATTATATTTGGATTTTTGTTGACAGCCTTGCATATAAATTATTTTACTTTTGGTTTCAGATGTTTAAAGATGATTTAGTTGAACTACAGTAAGTACAATTATTATATAGCAATGTAATTGTCCATGCATAACTTGACCAAAAGTCAAAGTGTGTTAAATGCACAGAGTAGCAATGCTCAAAACAGCAACATTTGATTATCTTTAAAATTAACATGATATTCTTATAATTTTATACCCCCACTCCTGGAGATTTTGCTATACTGCATTCACCTTGTGTGTTTGTCAGTCCAAAACTTTCAGTACAAATTACTCAACCTCTGTATTATGAATGGAATTGAAATATGGTCTGGAATTTTATAATGAAAGCCTTTTTATACGCCCGTTAACTGGTTATTATGGTATACCGTTCTGTCCGTACATCCCAAAATTAGTTTCCATTCTCTAACATTAGTTTGGCTCAACCAAATGTTATGAAACTTATACACAATGCTTATTACCACAAAATAGACAAGACCAAGTTCGAATTTGGGTTGTGTCACTTTTATCGTTCTTGAATTATGTCCTTTTATAACGTTATATGCAAGCAGTGGTATCATCTGTGTCTTAAGGACACATTCCCCATTTATTTCTTATAAGGCATTTGGTGATACATGTAATAGTTGCAGTTGCTTACAGTCTTACTGTCTCTCAGATCTAATTGATTGATTCATTGATTGTTTGTATTTAACACCACTTTCAGCACGATTTACTACCAGTTATTTTATGACCAGTTTTGTTAGAGTTAGAATTGATGTAAATACTACATGGCTAAAGGAGTAAGATAAGGGCCCATTTTGGCCTCAAAATTCAGGTTCATCTGATGAAAGATTTTGAACACTTTTTAAACACTTAAGTGTCTACTTCAGTCGATTCAATTAGTTTATGTGAAAGATTTGAACTGATAAAGTCATTAAAGACGCTCAAATTCAAGCTTAAATATGAAAAATCTATCAAATTTGCCATAATATGTCACTTTTCAGATGGTTTTTGTCAAAAATGAAAGTGGCCGCATCCGTGTTCATTCTTAACCTTTTTATATGTTATGTATTATCATTAAATACAACTTACATTTAAATATTAAGAATGAACACAAATGCGGCCACTTCCATTTCAGACGGAAACCGTCTAAATATTAACCAAAATGCTAAAATTTCGAAGATTTCAGTAATTTAGCATGACTTAATGATGCTAGTATCTGATACATGTGCATTGTATTGTCAAAAACAGCCCAGAAGTATTCTTCTTTCCAATAAATAGCTAAAGATTTACATTTTAACAATTTTGTAAAACTGCTCTATTTTGGGGCCAAAAAGGGGTCTTACTGGGCCTACTCCTTTCACTCAGAATTATAATTAAAAAATTATTGGCATGACTTTATTGGGCCTTTTTAACATAGGTATAATTTCTTTTTTGCCTAGAATACCAGAAACATACCATGAAGACTTATCCAGTGTTATTTTTGGATCAAGGTGAGAAACCTTACACATGTTAGTACAGTTGTTTGATAAACTAGTGACCCTATCTTTCATGACACCTACACAATTGCATATGGTAATTTTAGAAATTTTTGTTATAATAATAATTGCAAAAATGCAACAGGATGGGTTTTACAAGAGTTATAACTCTTGCAAGTATTATTTGTATACAGCATTTCCTGAAATTGCAAAAAATTAATCTCACAGTTTTGTTCATATTTTTCAACAATTACAATAAAAATACACTCAAATATGAATTTACAATAACTAAAAGTCATGTGTATATATGTGTACTTTTTTGTTTGGGTCTTTTTTTCACAAGAGTTGGTGGTAAGTGATGTGTTTTTTTGTTCTGTCCAGTATTTTTGGTGATTTCTGTTATTCGTTTTATATAATATTAATAAATGTTGTTTATTGTTATGGCTCCAAAAGGTCAAATTTGTTAAACGACTTTCTTACAAATGATACAATAAATAAGTCTGTAAACAAATCTCAGGTGGAGAAAAATTCAAGGAATAAAATAAACAACATTATTAATAAATAATGTTAGCGCCTATAAATAGCAGTACATAACATACACATTTTTTTATATATATTTATATAAGTTTGACGATTTGCACAACAACAATGATATATGATGGTTATTTATGAAATTGTATTGACAAATAGCCTTCTTCAATGTCATTGTCTCTATCGAATATAGAGATATATAACATATATACATAATTATGTAGGTATAAAAATTAATTCACATGCACAGGATTATATATATATTTATATATAATGTAATTTATTGTGTAAGGACGAAGATTTGTCAGATTTGTTACAAAACATTCTTACAAATAATACAAACAAATCTAAACAAAATACAATCGGTGATTATTACAACCAATAAACAAACAGTATTATATATAATGTAGTTTGTTGTCTATGCACCAAGAGAACAAATTTGTTAAAAATAATGAAACAGTAGATAAGTCTGTAAAAAAAATACAAGTAGAGAAAAATACAACAACAAAAAAAATGTAATTGATGTTTATAATTATGTAGAACATTTACAAACACATTCAGCTAGGTTCTATGTTTTAAAAACACACAAAATACTATTATGGCTATCACTCCTAAATTTTTGTTAAAAAAATTACAACTGAATATCTTATGTTGAAGGAATTCTCTTATTTTGTTTTTGCCCAAAGGGTCAATGTGAGCTGTTCTCATCTCTTGATAACCCTTGTTTGTTTCTTTTACAAAACAATTTGCCTCTGAAACTAAGGGGTCAGTGGGAACCAAACTTGTACCTATCATCCTAAAGTTATTGTTTTTAAAACATACTTTCGATGATCTAGCTGCCAACCATCATTGCCACCATTGCTAAAAATAGAACATAGGAGTAAAATGCAAATATCATCATTAAAGGGAAATAGCTCAAAAAAACAGTCAATAGTCATGTGACTAATTTGTATATCAGACAATGATGATATTTTGACTTATTTGTATATCTTATTTTGCTGATAATGTCTGTAGATCTTGTTTTGCTGATCGTAGACTTATTTGTAGACCTTATGCTGCTGACTGTTTTTGGAATTTTCAATTTCTCTCAGTCAATCTCGATCTACTGTAGATTCTGCAAAACTATAGAACAGGTAAAAATCATCATTCAAGGGCATTACTCCTGTAAGGGTTTGATTGATGATTAAGAAAGTGATAGAGCAAGCAGGGCATAGTATGGACACATATACTTGTTTTCTAAATCATGTAAAAATTTGTGTAGATAGGTCTAACACTTTCCCTCTTTCCAATGTGACATAACCCTGTGAACATCATAACTGACATGCTGTAAAGTTTCTTTAATTTGTGGATGACAATTTGGAACAGTGGTGTAGTTCATGGTTTCGATTTTTTGATTTCACACCTTATGTACACCTTGAATAATAACACAAGTTTTCAAATAAGCAGAAGATAATGTATGTGCTTTTTATCAGGAATAGTATTTCACTTTTAGTTTAAAATTGGTGTATTAAAGTTTCTCCAAATTTTGATATTTTAGTATACAGGTAAAGAATTTGTCGTCAATAAATGGCCATAGGAATGAATTAGTTTCACCTGTAATTTAGTTCAAACTTGGCAGGATTTTTCACCACTTCAAGAAGGTGTGAAGGAAGAAAACTGTTAATTGAAACGCTTCTGCAGAAAATTTTCCGCTTTGAAATTGGAGTTCAGGGATGAAATTTGGCATGAATAATCACCACTACTAGAAAGTGTATCATGCACATGAAAGAAGACCATGCATTAATGATCATGATCAAAAACTTAATTTTACTTAGGACACCTCTGTGCATATACATAGAATAACCCTAATTACATCACAATTTACTTATTTACATGCTGATGGCCCTCTGTGATGGCAACAGTGACCACAATCTTCTAGTTTGATTGATTAATTGGTTGGTGTTTAATGCCATCTTCAGCACTGTTGGCTTTTTCTTGGCAGTCAGTTTTTATTGGTGGAGGATTTAGCCTTAGTGCCCAGAGAGAACCACCGACCTTCAGTAGAAAAACTGACAATCCTAGTCAATTAAGGTTGGCATCAAACGCACCTGCCACGTGCAGGACTCTAACTCACAACCTCAGTGTTGACAAACTAGTAATACAGTAGTTGAACTACTTAGACCACACAGCCACAAAGGCCCCTCCTCTAGTTTGACACATGTTTTACTACTTAGACCACACAGCCACGGAGGCCCCTCCTCTAGTTTGACACATGTTTTACTACTTAGACCACACAGCCACGGAGGCCCCTCCTCTAGTTTGACACATGTTTTGAAATACATATTGAAACAACCTAAATATATATTGTTATATTTGGGTATGTACAGTTATGAGAACTCATAATCCTGCATTCAGTCCATACTTTATAGCTTGCTGTTCGGTGTGAGCCAAGGCTCTGTGTTGAAGGCCGTACTTTGACCTATAATTGTTTACTTTTAACACATTGTGACTTGAATGGATAGTTGTCTCATTGGCACTCATACAACATCTTCTTATTTATACATACTGTTTACTTATATTTTGGCATTGCACAAGATCATGTGTTTTCAGACTGTTGATGTCGGCTTATCCTAAATCTGTTGGATGTGTACTGATTGATACTTTAGTATGGGATAACATGATTTATTCATTAGTTGTCATTTGCTTTTAATTAGCTTTCAGTAACTGCCAGTACTTTGTGTTTATTGTTTTTGTCTCGCCTGCGACTTTTGTGAGACATAGGGATAACTATATAATTATAGTTTTTTTGTCATCTGAATTTCTCACTTAATATGAGTAAAAGGATAACTATATTTGTTATATGGTTTCCTTACAATGTCTACATGTTCTTCAGACAGAGTTCATCTGACCTTGATCTCATTTCATGGATCAGTGATCAAGGTTAAAGTTACATGATTAGTTCCATTTCTCAGATTCTATAATCAGTAAGTTGACTATAAATGGTGTATGGAATGAATTTAAGGTGTACATGTCTGTCTGGCAGGTATCATCCGACCTTGACCTCATATGCATGGTTCATTGGTCAATGTTAAGTTTTTGTGTTTTGGTCTGTTTTTTTATTACCATAAGCAATAGGTTAACTATATATGGTGTATGAAATAATTGTAAGGGGTACACATATCTGTCTGACAGGATTTATCTGACCTTGACCTCATTGTCATGGATATTTTAAAATGTTAAGTTTACTTGTAGTAAAACCTTTATCTTTCAGACTTTCAACATAAAAGCAAAAATTAAAATAGCAAAAATACTGAACTCCAATGAAAAATCAAAACGGAAAGTCCTTTATTAAATGGCAAAATCAAAAGCTCAAACACATCAAACGAATGGAAAACAACTCTCATATTCCTGACTTGGTACAGGCTTTCCTTATGTAGAAAATGGTCAGTTATAAGCAGGCGAGACATTTCAGCGTGTGCACTCTTGTTATGTTAATATTTTTCTGTGCTTTTGTACTGATCGATTGAGTGAAGCCATTTGCAACTGATTTCTATAGTTTGTTCTTATTTTGTGATGTTACACTGTCACCCCCATGGTCACAGGATAACACAAGAACAAACTGGAATAATCAGTTGAAAAGGGTTTAACTCATCAGATCAATTTAAAGCACAAAAAGACAAAAGACACACAGTACAGATCTGAGAGTACTCACAGTTACTCACATCTATTCATAGCCAATAACAACTAATAAGAAAGTCATGTATCTAATACTAAAATACCTAACAGTGTGCATCCAACTTCTAATGGATTTAGTATATATAAAGACATCATTATCTGTCAGAGAAAAACATTACCTTGTGCTATGCCAATATATAGGTATCAACAGATGGTAGGACAGTGAATGTACATATGTGTATGACAATACTTTTTAGTTGAGTTTTCAAATATAAAATCTGAAGTTTACAACAGGTATCAAAGTAATATATATTGATATTTACACCATACAATACTTGTTGTACACAAAAAAAAAAAAAAACAATTTGGATTTGTTTTTAACTTTTTTTTTCTCAAAAGTAAGATATATGGTGAAAAAAATCCCATAAAAATTTAGGATATATAGTGAAAATTAAATTATCACATCACATTCATTTCAATATTTTTCACAGCACTCTGCAGTGCTAAAGGTGTTTGTATCATTAGATCATTGTTAAAGTGTTATTCTACATATATTTATGAATATATAAGTATTGAATTACATGTGTAGATTTTTGATTATCAAAACAAATTGTATAACATTGATATAACTAAGGTAGCAATATACAGCTAGGAAAAAAAATTAAAATTTACCCTCATAAATTTTACCATCTCCTTTTCCTTGATTTCTTACAAATCAAGCTTATGGTTTGTGTCATTTGTGTGCATATGTATATAATCAGTATCTTCCATAGATTTGTTATCCAGTAATTAAAATGGTTAAATATAATTTGTTTTTGGTGTATCCATGG